TTTCCGGCGCAAAACTATTTTCCTGGAAGATAGTTTTTAAAAATGGGAAATGACGAACATTACCCATAGGACTTTAACATTAGCCCTGTGTTAAAGTATAGCCATAGACTTAAGCTGTAATTCCATGTTAAATCCCATAGAACGGGGACGGAAGGGAGGTGCAGCCGAACGATCCTATTAACCACATTATTCTTAGCTGAATTGTGGTTAGAGAATACTTGTATTAATATACAGTATAACTCCTGTGACTCTACAGTACTACAGTGTATACTCAGTGTATATACTCAGTCATTGACTGACATGAATAAAATATATAGTTTTTATGATAATAAATATAACATTGAATTAAAACATATTTCATTAAAAGAGCACGATACAATATGTGCTCTATTTATTATTATATAAAGTTTATATTATAAACTAAGATCTTATATTTTATTCATGTCAGGGATTAAAGTATTACAGAAGTTACTTATTAAATGTATCATGTTCTTTCAATAAAATATGTTATAATTCAACACAAGTATACAATTTAAAATTCAATTAATCAAGAGAGGATTTATCTTTTTAAATTGGCACAAAATTGTTAGTAATAAATATAGACAGTAAAAGGATTATAATAAATTTTAAGCAAATAATAGCCATGCGATTCTTAGAAATGACAGACAAATAAGCACAGATAATCTTAGATTTACATCAAAAGTATAACTACTTATTGACAAACATGCCTTTAAAGTAAGAATAAAATTTAAAGCAATTGTTTTTACGAATACATACCTCTCGGAATTTTTTATGCATAAAGCAATACGTGATAGAATTGGTACACGAACTCAGGTATGATAACAAATGTATGTATGATATGATTGTTGGGCTCAAAGTTGAATAGATCTAAAATTTTATTTATAATAAACTGATGACATAATAAAGTAAAAGCGATTTTCATTTTATAATTACTTGTTTTGGCCAATAGAGTGCCCATATGTTGATTACATACACAGGTGTCCAACATATAAAAAACTCCAACACCAGAACGCATAGCATTCTTATGACTCGCTTTTTGGTATTCAATTGTGTGGACACTCGACGAGTATTTCTGTTTAATAATAAAAATAGCATTACTTTTTATGACTACATTTATAAATACATAAATATTTAGAAGAAATAAAATATATTATAAAAAGAAATTATGTAGAATATTTAATTTAATGTTCTATAATATTTTAAAATTCAATTAATCACTCCGAACACTCATAAAATATTGTAATTGATCAAATAAATGATCATATAAAATGAGTACCATGGGTAATTGAAATATATATTTCACTAGCCTTTTAACCACTGGCCCACGATTTTAACCCACATGCATTACCATGGGTAATTCTAAAGGTAATTTTAATTCTAAATTTCATGGTCAATTCATTTAAATGACTTGACATCATTTATACTAAATTATAATAAATAATAAATCCCTTTTTAAAACAAATTATTGCACAATTTCTAAAACGTTGGCATTAATACAGATTCTTTGAATAAACCAATTTTAAAATAACAAAATATAATAGTCGTAACTTTATGAAATAATAATGATACAGTATTATCTTATTTGTATGAACAATGTTGTGTAAACCTAGCATCTGTATTGAAATAACACAATATAATTCTATTCATATTAATGGTGTTTAAATCATATCACTTCAAATAAAACCATAATGGAATATAATAAGTAATTAATAATTTATGAAAATAAGAATTACTGTATATTATAAATGTTTCAATAGTAAATGCCATATTTCAATAGTTAAAATACTTTGTATTATTTGCAAACAATATATAAATGCTTAAAGCAAATAGAATATTAAACAGAATTTTTGTAATTAATAAATAATTAATATTTTAATATAAAAGTTTAATGTTAAAGAAATCTTAAAGTTTTAGCTTATGTGCAATAAATCGTATGTAGACTATAATTATTTCATAATTCTATAATTTTATTTAGAATTAGAATTCATAAATCTATTTCATAATTTCATAATACTTTACATTAATGAAAATAATATAAAAGGGGTATTATAAATAACAATTATTATATTTATAAACTGCAATTTAAAATGTAAAAAATAAACAAATTATTTTTAATACCAAAGTGACTATCTGGTTCATCTGGTACATTTAGTTATGATTTTATTTTATTAATAAATCAATTCGCGATATAAGTAAAATGATTAGTGAGAAAATAAATGTCTAAATAGGAGAATTGATTGAGCAACTAAATATTAATTAATTGTTATTAATGAATAACTTAATGATAGATGGTAAGTTACCCCAATCGTAATTTCTTGATACGAATCACTTTCTTGTGACAGTCGGTGTCAATCAATAGTTTCCTATTAGAGGAACAGCTGTTGGGCTCCGAAGACGTGTTGACAATACCATTAATGAAACCACTTTTGCAATCGTATGAAACGCTTATTGAATGAC